CTGGGACAACATAGGTCTTACCTCTCTGGAACTTCACTACCTGGTGAACGTTGTCTGGCTCCTACCTTCTAGATCCAGGTTTTCTGAACTGGCTCCTATTCTTTGTCTGTTGACTTGTCGTATGACTTTGGATCATGCTCAGAATAAGACTTCAGGGCAATTTCTAACCTCCAAACTGCAGCAGGGTTAGTGGAATTTGAGAGGGGAAATTTTGTCAGGACCATTCTTGCCCTTGCTGACTAAAACCAGATGATTTTATTACACCAGCCCCAGGACTGATACAATATCTCTTTGGTCCCTGGGGCATGTTAAGGAAACAAGTGGGCTTAGGATATAGGTATGTGATGAATCAAAATTTCTCATTCTTGGTGATTTTCACAGCATCACCATGCAACGATTTCCTGTGAAGATGCCTTTCTGCAATTGGTTGCATTTCCCAGCTTCCTTTGAAAGGGAGTTTCTAGTCTTCTTTCTGATTTATACTCATGGAATCTCCATTTCTTTCAGCTGTTCCCAAATTCTTCAGCTTTGTGTCCTTTTGGTTAATCCTGCACAGGAAACATGCCATTATATGCAGGAGTTGAACTAATTCTGTACAGTTTAGAAAAAAAACAAAACAAAAATAAACACACAAAAAAAATCTGATAAATCGTGTAATCGCATAAAATTCCTTAAGGAAGGGGTGGAAAAAGGGAGAGAAATTCTTTGAAGAGATAAGTGCTTCTCCCTTTCATTTATTGAAAGGCATAAGAGCATGTTCCTTTCCTAGCTTTTAGAAAAGGTATGCTAAAAATAGGGACGTGGTGGCACTGTGGGCTAAACAGCAGAAGCCTGTGCTGCAGGGCCAGAAGACCAGCAGCCATAAGATCAAATCCACGCGACGGAGTGAGCGCCGGTCGCTTGTCCCAGCTTCCGCCAACCGAGCGGTTCGAAAGCATGCAAATGCAAGTAGATAAATAGGGACCACCTCGGTGGGAAGGTAACAGCATTCCATGTCTAAGTCGCACTGGCCATGTGACCACAGAAGATTGTCTTCGGACAAAACACTGGCTCTATGGCTTGGAAACGGGGATGAGTCGAATACGACTAGACAAAAATTGTCAAGGGGAACCTTTACCTTTACCTTATGCTAAAAATAAAATAGACTCCTTCCTGAAGGAGGATCAAAGGAACATCCTGGGGAAAAAAAGGAATTTCAAAGGAGCATCCTGAAAATATCAAAGGGACATCCTGGGAAAGGAAGTTCAGAGGAATACCAATCTAAATTAACTTTTGTGACTGTGTGTGCGTTGTCTATTTAATTACTCTGTATTCTGTGTTGCCTTGGATTTTTCCTGACATGCTTTTCTTATGGTGTATGTATATTTGAAAACATCTTGGCTAGCTAGCCAAATAAACACTTCCCTGATAAGAAACCTCACAATTCACATTTTTGTCATTTTAAGGAAGAAAAGTTCTCCACAACTTCACTAATAGGAGGTGCCCTGTGTGCTTCTGGCACATCCTAGTTTCCTTGGTTCTGGCATGGATTAGCTGCTGACCAGCATGAAGTTTGGAACAATCTTAGGCAGGATTACACCCCTTTCAAGTTAATCATATGTGATGAAACATTGTTGTGAAAATGTCATTAAATAAATGATTATGTGAAGTTCTGTTGCTGTTGCTTTATTCCAAAGGGGAACATGGAACAGTGGTTCTGCTGCAACACGAGTAGTGGAATATGTTAACTGATATAATCTGGTGACTTCCAAGCACACTGACTTCTTGTGGGAAACCCTGCAATATCCCTTTCCCAAGAAACAACCCTTGGCAGAGAGTTGAAGGCCCTGGATCAGTCTCCTAGGTGGCTGTTGAGCAGTAGAAGAGCTCTTCTATACTATCTTACTCTATCTTGGCACAGAGGAGGGCCATGTTGTGCCGCATGCCACATGGTCTTCCAGTTGCAACAGGTTAGTGCCCTGACTAAGCCAGGAAGGCAGGGCAGAGTGTACCCCTTTTGAAGCCTGAGGAAGCTAAGGGAAACATAAAAAGAACTAGTGAAGTGGAGGCGGCTCTGGACTTTCCCTTTATTGGGGAGAGGGGAAGAATTAGCAAAGAGAAGAGGGATGAATGATCTTCTCACAGGGCTTGTGTGTCACTCTCTGATGACAAGGAGAATGAACAGCAGCAGCACAGGCTCCTTGAATATCCAACTGCATAAATCAAGGCTCTGCCCTAGTTCTTCCTAGATGGAAGAAACATTAGATAAAAGCACGGGAGAGGAATTTGCGGATGCGAATTGTGAAAGCAATAGAGCCACTATGGATCTCAGGTAGCAGGGAAAGTTTTCCCTACCCTATACAGTTTATAATGGAGAAGGAAGGAAGGATCTGCAAGTCCTCTAGACTTTGTAGCATCAATGTAGCTGTGGCTGGGAAAATAGGAACCACACAAAGTCAGTGCAGTGCTTGGAAGACTGCAATAATCTTGCAAGTGCATAGTGCGAGACTCTTGTGGTCATGAACACTATCTTGGGGTACCGGGTCAATAGTTGGCCAACAGTCACCAAGAGGACAGTGGGAATATTGTTTCTCTTTTGTTTGGAAAGGTAACAAATGTTCATGAGAAGTTAATTGGAGTCAAAAGCCTTTAATAATTTAACAGTCATCACTATTTATAGTGTTTGTAGAGAGAGTTCTGCTTGTGTATGGTTTTATTTTGCAGTAATGTGTTCCATAAGACCAATTAAGACTAGCGAAACCACAACATTGTGTTCATTTCTCCTTCTTTCCTACCTGAAGGTGTTTGTAACCCTGTTGAATATTAGCACCAAAGTGCTCTGATCAGCCTTATCACCACTGCTTTCACAACTCAATTTGACATTCACTTTTGATTTTTGTAGCCTGCAGAAATATTACAGTTTTATGTGTACAGATGATAGCAAGGAAATGCCAACAACATATTTATGACTTTTCCCACACCTCTGGGTAAAAATAATATTACAGTGTTAAAAAAGGAGCCCACTTCAATTTCTGACACCAATCATCTCCCACACATTTGAACCACTGTCCACAGGAGTGAAAGATCTAATTAACACACAAGCCCCCGAGTCACTGTGACAGCCTGCTTTCATGGTGCCTTGTGAAGAGCCAGAGTTCTACTGTCTACTGTCAAGGTTTGAAATTCAAGGTGGCTTGTTAATGAATAAGCTAGATATAATAGTTTCCCCCAAAACACTGCACTTCCTTTTAATTTTTTAAAACATAGCCATATCATTGTATTATCCCTCTGGAAAAAAATCATGTATTTAAATGCTAGCCTGGGGAAACTGCACCTGCATGTATGACAGAATATCCCCCGAGTCCTCTGTATGAGATTCGGAAGGCATCAAGGATGTTATTCTCCAAGATCCAAATGAAAGTTCATAGTATATAAATAGACACACTCTCAGGGACTATGTGCATTCTTTTAGTGTGCTTTAAACTAAATGTTAGGAGCAACATTTTCCAAATTATGCAACTTGCATAACTCACTGCAGATGTAACACACTTCTCCCTCATAATAATAAATTGCTTGGGATATTTTGTATTGCACTAATTAAAAATAAGAGGCTGAATGAGATGAGGTAAGGTTTCTTTTGAAATTATTTTTACCCTGGGTTATTTACTTGAGTGATAAATAAGAGAGCTATTTTTATTTCTAGTTTTCTATTCAATTTATTACAAAATAAAGCTTGATACGACTACACTGAATATTGAGATAGTTAGCTCTGAGTCTAATGTCATCAGTGGGCAGAGAGGTTATAACATATTAACTTCCCATGGACTTTGTGTTAATTGTACACAACACTCTAAAAAGTAAATTGAAAAAGAAATTAAAATAGCTTTATTTGAATGTAATGCTTGTCATTTTTTTTTTGAAATTGCTGTCAACACAGGAATTGTTTTGTAATAGTGTAATATAGCTAAATGTGCAGTGGGATAACACAAAAGAGCCCTATCCAGGCTTTATAGCCTTAATTATGGTGGGAACAGGGGCACATACTGTATATTAGCTGCTATCAGAAGTCAGTCAGACTGTTGCACAATGATGCCATCTGTCTACATGCATTCGGCCAAACACTCTTAACAAGCTCTTCTGACTGTCTTTTGAAACAGGATATGGGCATGAAAACAACAGAACACGTATGTTTGTTTGGGGGTAAAAAATACATGTAGGGTGTAATGTATATAACAATGCATATGTGTATAAAATGCATATAATTGTCAACATTTGGTAAATGTTGACAATTCTAGTCAAATTTTAAACGTCAACATTTAATGGTGTATGTTAGTACTTTTTGAACATATGGTGACATGTATGAATAATTTCACCTAAGTGACAGTCAAAATTCATTAACATTACTTCAGACTGTAGTTATATGCACCAACTTTTTCTAGGTTTCCTGATTCTGAAAAGCTCTGATATAATATATAAACACAGGACAAATTAACATCCATTTCCCAGGCTAGAAGACTATAGTTAGCTCTATTATTCTTCAGATTACAGCATTTTTGTGCCTCTTTTATAAGCAAGAATTTGTTTGAGAAATGGTCCATGTCTATTTAATATGGTTCTCTGATTTGCTTATTTTTTTGTCTCCAGATTAATCTTGGCATTTTCCTACAACCTCCTCTTTCTTTCTCTTAAAACTGCATTACTTTCCCCCCCTTTTTAAAAAAACCTGAAGCCCAAAATGAACTGGTTGCTGCATCATTGGACCCATTACACTTCCTAACAATTCCATTTACACCTTATTGTTTGTCTTATTGCTGGAAAATTCAGGTGATTCATCATGTCTGAGGAAGCACCTGATCCCATTTCCCTTGATATCACAACCACTATGTGACAGGAATACTGTAAATGTTGGCTTTCAAGCTACCTAACAGGCCAAGGTGATAACTCCTTTAGGACTTTTAGCCTCTCATGCATTGATGACTTTCATTTTTGTAATACTATGTTTCTTTGGTTCCTTTTAACAGCCCTCTCAGTGATGAAAGAGGTTTGGAGTTAATAATGGAAGTTGCGGGCCTTCTAAAGCTCCAGATGACGGCTTTTGCTGATATTGAGTAGGTATACAGAGAACAAACCTTCTGTAATCTCCCCTTAATTTCTAGTTTGCTTGAAAACTAACCTCCATTGTATGCTAAGAAAGACAAAAACCACCCACAATGATGCAGAATCGTTTTATACATAGTGTAGAGAGATAAATATTTCTTCTGTTCCCAAAACAGAGAGTCATAAAAATTTAACTGACAAGTTGTAGATTCAGATTGTATTTTAAAAGTTACTTATTCTCACAAAACACACTTATTAGTTGCCACAAAATGTGTGGGCCAAGGTCTTGTGTAGTTTTAAAAATGCTAAGACAAATCTGTAAAAAAGTTAAATATCATATTTAGAGGCATTATATCGCTCCAGTTACCAGATCCAGCATGCCTTGCTCCACATGAGCTTCCTAGGCACATCTACCTCCCTAATATTGGAAGCAAAATGCCAGACTAGGAGGATGTTGAGCTTGTTTGAGACAGGCATATTCTAGCTGGTGCTGTCTCATACTAGAAGAATATGTATTCTCCCCCTGGCTGGCAGTACAGAAACAGGCTATATACATTTAAATGTTAGTTATGTAGATGCCTAAGTATTTTATACAGCCAGCGGCACAATCAAGAATGAGAAAAGGCAAACCTGATATGTTATTACACTTAATGTATGGAGGACCAGAGAGAGTGTGAGCACATTTATTGGCTCTTGTCTTGTCTTTGTGCATACAGTAATTGTCATAGATCCTTTGTGCATGCCTCAGATTTTGTACAGTGAGGAATTCTGATTTGTTATGGCATAGAAAAAAATGCTGCTCATATAACATGAGAAATGTGAAGGTCAGGAATGAGGATGGCTTATGTAATGTCTCTTTGCCCACATCTCTCTCTCTCTCTCTCTCTCTTTTTCTTTTAGTGTAACATATTAAAAATGCTAATATTCAGGAGAAAAGGAAAAAAAGATAGGGAAGGCCCAGAAACACCGTATTTATGCATGAAGGAAACTGACAGATATCCATGGAGAAACAGCCAATAGAGAACTGCTAAATAATATCCGTGGCCAATGATTTAGGGTTGTATTCAGTTGTTAGTTCCAATGAGAAAATGCCCATTGAATTAAATTGAATTACATTGAGTCCCACTGATTCAGAGGGTTTATTTTCTTTGCGACTAACAAATGAATTTAACACATACAGTCCTATTAGAATTGCTGTTTCTATTTTTGTTACCTTTGATCTAAAATATATTAATTTTGAATGCATCTATAAAAAGATCTAATCATTTTCTTCTTAGGTTTAATACAGTGAGTAAATCATTCTGATGTGTACTCATTCCTTCAAACACCCCATTTCTTTGGGTGTTCAGTAGAGTAATTGTGTAGCTGATTTTCATGTTAGTTATGATTGCAATGATGTAATCAACTTTTCATTAAGTTTTTATTTACACATGCAGTACAGTATACAATATGACTTGGACATCAAAGGCAGTGACCCTATATGCACTTACCTGTCGTTAAATATGGATGGAACATATAGTGATGTGCAGTCTGAATGTTCTTTTGGACTTGATGCATGTAGCATGTTGTCCATTTTTGTATTCAGTTCATGGCACCTGTCCTTTCAAATATGCATATTTTGGGGATCAGAAAGTAGTAGTGAAAACAAAGTGGTGGCACAATTTTCAATATATTTTATGAAAGTAGCATGTTTTCCCCAAAATAAGACAGGGTCTTACATTTTTGCTCCAAAAAACACAGTAGGGCTTATTTTCAGGGTGTGTTTTATTTCTTTCATGTACAACAATCTACATTTATTCAAATACAGGCATGTAATCTTCTAGTTGCTCCACAATGGTGGAGAGCAGGGTTTCACTTAACTAGGGCTTATTTTTGGGGTAGGGCTTGTATTAAGAGCATCTTGAAAAATCCTACTAGGGCTTATTTTCGGGTTAGGTCTTATTTTTGGGGAAACAGGGTACTAGTTATAGTTAATCTGTTTTGTTAATGGTTATATAGCTGTGAAACAAATTCCATTATTTTGTATTACATCATTAGGGACCATTAAAAGAATATTAACATGCTGATATAATTATGTGAGCAGACATGAGATGATGATAGGTTTGATTTTATAATCCAATTATGGGTCTCTGTGGCCTCCAGTGATTGATTGCTGAATTAGTATGATAGCAAAGGAAGGTGGGTGGCAGTATTAGAAGGTCTATTGTGAGTAGACATGTTTTTCCACCAAGAGTTTTTCCAGTCTTCTTAGATATGTCAGACTTCTGTATAACACACATCAAACAAACATAATGCAAAATATAATATGGCAGATTCCCCCTCCCCCCCGGTTTTGCTATTTTGGATGTATTAGATATTGCTCATACAGGATTGTTTTGGGTCCATCCTGTTCTGCACTCTAAAATATGTAGTGAAGTAACTTGAGTTCTGAGACAGGCTTGTACAAAACAACACCAATGAATTGTGTAAATGTTTTAGTGAAGTACATCTCTACTTTAGGAATATTTCTAATAAGGTTATCCAGCTGTGCTTATTACAGCATTGTGCAGCCTTCCTGAACTTGGCTGGACTATAATTCTCATTTCCCTGGGCCAGTGTACACATTAGAGATGATGAGAATTCCTATTCAACACATCTACATCTTAGGTTTTGGGATGAAATGATGGAAATACGAATTCTACATATTAAAATGATCTACGTGTTGATAAAATCATTATTGCCCACAAGCATACAAAAGATAGCAAATCAGGGCACTGGTCAGCTACTTACTGAGAAGAAATTTTAGTAATTTTAAGATTTATGTTATGTTATGCAGCTTAGCCGCCTAGAGTGGTCTTAATCAACCAGATAGGCGGGATATAAATAAAATAAATAAAATAAATTAGTATTTTCAACATTCTTTACATGTCCTGCCTGATATTCTGTTCTGCAGTTTATGCTGCATAAGACTGATGACAAAATAAAACATTTATGATTCTCTCTATCCCTGAAGGTCTTGAGACTCCCATGGAACCAGGTGGAAGTCTTTAATTGACACTACTAGCAGTTTTCAGAAATTAAAGACTTCCTCTCATGCCATGGCTGCCTTTGAAGATGGTCTGGCGACTGCAGCTAATCCAAAATCCAGCTGCGTGGCTGATGAGTAGTGGGGCTGCTAGGGAACACATCAGGCTGATTCTGTTTAAATTACATTGGCTACCAGTCGCTGCCTAAGCCCAATTCAAAGTGCTTGTTTTGAAATGTTCCTTGCTTTTTTGAGTAGATACAGAGTATCTTTGTCTCACAATTATTGAGTAACACTCTGCTCTGCAAACTTGAAGAGTGTGACTTCTAGTTAGCTTACTGATTTAGTCAGAGGTTGGGAGTTCAATTCCCCACTGTGCCTCTTTGACAAGGGCTAGATTTGATGATCCATAGGGTCTGTTCTAGCTCTCCAGTTCTAAGATGATGGTGGTGGTAATTCCAGGAAATCTTTAAAGTTTCAACATTTTTAGGTCCAATTTGAGAAGTTAAGTGACTTGGGCATGTTTTTGCATTGTTTGAACTGCTGTCAGCTACATTAAGAATTGAGTCACGAATTACAAGCATCTTTGGTGAATCATCTAGGGAAAATTGCCTTTTTACTAAGGTATATAAAGTAACTCATAATGCTGGAGGCACAGCACATGTTTACAAGCTTGATTTGGTTTCCAGGCTGTGGAATAAGTTCTAAAAGAAATCACATCACAAGCTGCACAAATCTGTATTCTAAACCAATAATTATGAGTGCATTTGAAACACCGTTGCAGCCCTAAGAACATAAGAACCAGTGCTTGATCAGACTGAAGGCATGTCTAGTCTATTATCCTCTCTGCTTGCTACATTGGCAAGGTTTATAGTACAGTAGGCCCACTAGCAGAATGTAGGATTAATTCTTCAGTAACTAATATCCAGAGGCATGCTGCCACTGATTTTGAAGGTAAAATAAAAGACAAGTTGGATCCCCCTCTTTCACATCCCCTTAGCCCTGCTCCATATGAGAGGTTGTCATAAAGGTGACTGAAATAAAAATGTGGAGTCCCATTGCTCACATGCCAAATATCCCAAGCACTTGGAACTTTCATTAGGAGCCTTGTGGCGCAGTGGTTAAGCTGCAGTACTACAGCCACAACTGTGCTCATGACCCAGAGTTCAATCCCAGGTAGCTGGCTCAAGGTTAACTCAGCCTTCCATCCTTCCAAGGTCAGTAAAATGAGTACCCAGCTTGCTGGGGGGGGATGTGTAGCCTGCATAATTAACTTGTAAACTGCCCAGAGAGTGCTTTAAGCACTGTAGGGCAGTATATAAGCAGCACACTTTGCTTTGCTTTGCTTTTCATTTGAATGACTGGACCCTGCATTTAATGGGTTTAGGACAAAATTCATATGTAAATCATCTGGTTTGTTCTGGTGAGTAATAGGTAGAAGCAGCTTATACTGCAAAGCTTTAGAATGTCTGACCATTTGTATTAGGAGTGCAGATGCTTGAATCAGCATGTTTGTAGTAGTGTCCTAAATGGAAGTATAAAGCGCTTGGTGGTGATTGTTTTCCTGTTATATTAGTATTACCTGGGGGAAAAATCCAATCAGCCATTTAATAAAGCCCACTCATCCAGAACCTAAACATTGTTGCGATACTTGGTGTTTCCACTTCATCATGCTGATAGGTTATGACATAAAGGATGTGTTATTTGCAAACGTGAATGTCTAAGGAAATGATCTGTAGCTGGGCACCTACGCTGTACTGAAGAATGCTGTGAAAGCCATTTGTTTAACATTGTATGCAAATTTGAAAAATTCATATTTGGTGTTTCCTATTATTGGACTTCACCTTGTGCACTTATTGTTGAAAGTGCAGTTATTTGGAGTTTGCATTCGGCATACACATATGTAACCTCTTTCAGGGTGAATAATGCTGATCTCCCAGCAAGGAAGCATTTTTTTCCTGTTCTGCTACAGATAAAGAAATTGTATTTGTCTTCTCTCCAGAGTTT